ACAGTGTCATCATTTTTGTTCTTGTAAAAATAAAACAATGGGTATATACACACACACCAGAAAGAAACATTAATAATATGATGATGAGATGGTGGCTTTGGCTATTATTGTGTGAGAAAACTTTATATATGTTCCCTAAACTTTCATTATTTTAGTATCTCTAACTTGTAAATTTTCTGCAATGACAATGTTTAAATTTTTTAAGAAAAAACAATAAGTTTAAATTTTAAAGTCAGAATTTCCCCACATTGTTAATATACATTTACATGATATAGTATTTCTATATTACACTAACATATTCATCAAAAGCATAAAGATTACTTTACCTAGTCCTTATGTTAATTATAACTGGTCGCCTTTAAAGGGAAGTTTTTATCTGTGTAATATTGCCTCTTTTGTTAGAGCAAGATTGCAATAAATCACCAAGTTGATCTTAAAGCAGGAGATGGAAACTTGATTCACCAATTGGTGGTCCAGATCCACCATCTGGCGGGCCAAGGGGTAGGCTGCAAGTCTACAACCTTCGACCTCTTCCTGAGATTTAAATGCACCTTTTATAGTCCAAAACCATATTAAAGCATAAGTGGCTGTTGCTATGATTCAAAACCATAAATGTCATGAGATCTAAAATAATAAGCAGCAAAGATAGTGGGCCAAAACATCCCTAATTGTGTAAAAGTTAAAGAATCGTTACTAACATCTAGACAATCAATCTCTGTACATTGTCCAAGAAAAATTGGAACCAAAGAGAGAACACTTTTACATTGTATAAGAATTGCCATTTTGTGTTGCCAAACATGCTAGCTAAGCAACTGTTGATGGGTACAGAGGTGGGGCTTCCCATGGGAGAGGGATTTTTTATATGATGTGGGGTCTCTGGGGAAAAAATGGAGTCTGTTTGGTCATTGCCCATGTAGCCTGACCCATAACAATATATTAGTAATGAAGGAAAAGCAATGACCAGAATCTTGAAAACTTTTCTATGCATATAGAATTTCATAAAGTGCATATTGATTTTTGTTTTGCCTTCTGTGGAATCTTGAGATTAAAAGGAAATGTGTCATGTGTTAATTGAGCTGTTTCAATGATTCATGCAGGATATTGAGCAGAGGGTGCCTGTAATGGATGCCCAGTACAAGATGATCACAAAGACAGCACATCTCATTGCCAAAGAGAGCCCCCAAGAAGAAGCCAGCGAGATGTTTGCAACCATGTCCAGGCTCAAAGAGCAGCTAGCCAAGGT